TGACAGTCGATCGGAACACACATTTAGTGTCCAACTCGGTGTGCATCGATGATATCCAACTGGCCCTCGCATCCCTGCACATATTGTTTATTGGAAAATATTCAAAGCTCACTCTCTCGCACGCACTTGTGTGTGTGCCTGCGCATATCTTGAAATACCGAGGATTTCACATGCTTAAACTGAACTAGCAAAAGGAAGACTGTGCAGCACACAGTTCGCGGCATATTTCCGTTTTTGATTCTTGTTTTCGATTACTTGCTACAACCTAATCACATTTGGGAGTAGACTCTGAACTCAACAACAACAACAACAACAACAACAACAACAACAACAACAACAACAACAACAACTACTACTACTACTACTACTACTACTACTACTACTACTACTACTACTACTACTACTACTTACTACTACTACTACTACTACTACTACTACTACTACTACTACTACTACTACTACTACTACAACTACAGCCAGTACCTGGTGACGATCCATCACAATCGCGTGACACCCATTTGTCTGTTTTATGCCAAGGAAGGGAAGAAGATGCAACAGTTGAAGTCGGTTGGCAGTTACTCAACTGACTAAATGCGACCCAATCAGGCAGCCATCACGGGTCTGAAATGAAGGTTTTATAATCCAAATTCTGTCTAATTCGACTTACATCGTCTCGCATGTGATTGATGCTTACCTCGTGATAATCCAGATGCATGTTAGTAAAATTTTGTTCAGTGAACCGGATTCGAATCGTTCTTCTTCTACGTCTATCATTTCGCTTAGTTCCGTATGCCATATTATGTGTTCAGAATGCGATATTTAGTTGTAGCAATCGATAAATTTGATAAAGTAGAGCAAAACTTCATTCTATAGAAAGTAGTCTAGGCATTCCGGAAGTGTAGAGTCTCCAGTGTGTCCTTGTGCATCGCAAATCCTGCTGCTATGGTACTATAGTACTGTAAAAATGACCGTTTCACAATGTACGTTTATGCTACGGATTAGCGGAGGTCGCCGAACTGGTATACCATTCCGATCATTACATCTTCATATGGTTGCTGGTGCTTGAATTTTCCCCTTTTTGTCTCCTTTATCTGGATGTTTCTGTCACTAGAGTTAATCGCGTTTGTGTAGGCCAAAAAGCAAACATGAACAATTTTGTGTTTTTGGTCTATAGTGGATAAAACAGAATGTATAAGACAAGCAACCGCATCCAAAGAAGAGCAACGCTTCCAATAAGCAAGCTGATTGGAATTATGAAAGTCAAGAGGATAGGTGCTTAATAATAATACGCTCAAAAGTTTTAAGTAATACTGAAGATGAGGCAATAGGCCGAAACTTACCCTTTTCTTTCTTAGGTACTGGAGTGATGCGAACATCAAGCCATGTGTTAACTAGTCTTCCCTCTAACAGACATGTATTAAAGATAAATGAAACGGTTTGTGCGAGGGGGTTTGCGCATGCTTTTAGGACCACTGGTGATAAGCCATTAGGATCAGAAGATTTATTTCCGTTGACAGCATTTAACTCTTTTAAAACGTGCTCTGTTGTGACATTCACAGGAAGGTGGAAATCAAGTGACGTTGTATTTAGACTGCGTAAAGCTTGCACAACATTTTTCACTGAAGCAAAAGATTTTTTGAGCTCATTGATATCACATGAGATTGTAGTACTTAAAGTTGAACGACCACGAAGCAACTTCAGTCTGTTCCATTGCTGACGGCAGGATTTGTCTCCTAGCACGGTGTCAACATACAATTGATTGAGATGGGCTATCTCCCTTCCGATATGGATGTTGATAGATTTGACCGTCAGTTTTCACTTAAGCGATACGCCCTTTCTGTCTTCTTACCCATTTCAGAGAAGAAGTGGTTGGGCTATAGGTGAATCATTTCTTGAGGGTAGCACATATCTTTAAAATAGTTGAAATAATTGGTAAGGTTCTCAAAGAAGACTGAAATATCAGAATCGAAAGTTTTTGTAAGTCCGTTCCGCCAACCATGAATTTTAAT